TATTACTAATAATAATAAAATAATACTGCTATAACTTATAATAAAATAAATACTACTACTAATTACAATAACAATAAAATAAAACCTTTCCTATTTTTAATAATACTAGTATTAATAATAACACAATTACTACTACTAATAATATAACTATTAGTAATAAATATCACCGCTACTACTGATAATATAAATGTTACGACTATGATAAATGAATCCAGGAAAAGCTGTGAAAAACGTACTTAACGAATTTGTGTGAACAAATGACAGACCAGGGACAATGGGGATTGTATAGAGTCAAGTTACTTAGATCACCAAATAGGCGAAATGATTAGCTCCTTTTGCAAAGGACATAGCACATAAGAGATGAATAAATGAAATCATATTAAACTCAATCACTGTCTTATGCATCACTCAGATAGCTAACAATGGTCACATCGCTAGTCATATAAAACCTGATCGTCTCATTTAAAAATTAATAACTAAATTAAATATATTTGTGCTGCGTCTGTGTAAAACTCTCTAATATAATCAATTGCCGCTCTTTAAAATTGAAGACAATTTTCTCACTCGGAAAAATGCCAATTCTTTGTCAATTCCGTGAAAGAAAATAGCAAAATATGTTGTTGGTTTACAAAAGCAAAAAAAAAAATGTCTGTTTTAGAAATCTAAAATGCTACAAAAATAGATAACATCAATTTATTTCTGATGTAATCAAATATCTTAAGATGTTTACGAAATATTTTTGTAAAACAATTAATTGATTTTTACTTAAAGCCGGGATTCGTGTTTTTTGTTTTGTTTTGTTTTGTTTGTACTTTTTATTATAGGACTTCCTACTGAATTTTTATCATTCTGTAGACATCTATCTGAGTCTACGTCTATTTTTTTCCCTTTTGGGGCGATTTGCCCTTGAAAAGATCAAATCTGCTGAATGTGGTCGTTGGCATGTTGCCTCAAGAACAACATGAACAGGCATTAGTCAATACCTGTACAAGGCAGATTGGTGAAATCCGTTCGTTTGTCGGTCGGGGCACAGCACGAAATCTAAATTGAATTTAGATTTCGAGCTATGTTTACGGGTTACAAGAGCACTATCTAATTAATATTATATGGGTTAAACCTAATGTCTTCAGTAATCATTTTTTACATGTGCTCAGATTGCAATTTTAGTTGTTGCTATTGATTTCTATGGCACTCCTTATTACTGGTTCCCATATTGTATTCATTTCTATGCTTGGTCGGCTCAGGAGATCTTTGTGCCCTGAAGACTTACTTTAAGGCGGCGGTCTGTCTCCCCCTTTATATTTCTTTCCGCAGCTGCACGGGATGGAGTACTCACAGTTTTTAGTCATGTTCTCCTCTATGGGGACGGGTCTTTCTCGGGAGAATGATCTGCGAAGTGTCGTCCAAGGACACGATGCACAGTGAATAATGGCGTTAGTTAGATCCAGTGAGAGGGCCTAAAGAGTGTGAGTTCAGTACCTAGTTGAGGCGGCTGGGAATTTGTTGAGGGGAATTACCAAGAAAATAACTGATAAATGACATCCATTAGACATGGCACGTGGAACTAGAACAGTCTACATCAGCGAGGGAAATAAAGGGTTCAGTTTGACATTCCAACCCCCTAAAGAAAGCTGGAGCGTACAACGGCCGAAACGTTGTGAGAGATATGGCAACAAAGATGATGATAGTCCAAGCAATGTAAATAGTGTTTTATATTTACTAAATCCACATACTGAATATTTATCATAGATTCAAGTTTTGTGATATCACTACTTTCATTCCATAACTTAAGTTATATCTTATTTACTAAATCCTGAGAAACATTTTTCTTTGCTCTGTGTCAGTTACACTGAGAGTATCATCGCAAACCTTGATATCGTGGCAAATAGAGAGAACGGGTGTACATAATTTACAATTCAGGGCTGTACTTCTACCCTGGTAAATAACCAAGTTTAAAGAGGTCATTCTTCTCTAGTATTTGATCAAAAGCTCTCAAGAAACGAAGACATGGGTTCATAATTTGACGAAGCGTATTTGAACATAAATGAAAATAATGAATTGTAAGTTTACTCCTCGATTTCTCGCTATCAATCAGATCACCCATATATTCTCTCTCTTTCTTTCTCTCTCTCTCTCTCTCTCTCTCTCTATATATATATATATATATATATATATATATATTTTTATATATATATATATATATATATATATATATATATATATATATATATATATGAACAAACCACTTTAAGGCTTCATTGTAATAGTTTATTTCACCAGAGACCTTTTAAAGTACTCTGCATCTTCAGACATCACTTTCAGACGGTGAAACGAAAAAAATGAAACGAAAATTTACAATTTTGACGGGTATATATTCGACTCTCCCGTCGATTCGACGTATGGGGGTCAAGCAGATCAGTTCCGAGGAATCAATAGCCCGACTTCAGCACATGAGGTTTGATTATAATTTTGAAGGTTTTATGCAGAGCCATCCACACTTTTTGAAGGGACGAATACAGAGACCTGGTGCAGTACGAACCACAAGGTCCTCAAACGATCCTTTGCAGGTTTTGAGTTCTGAGTTGTACTTTTTCTAGACCAGTTGCCATTCAGTATATATATATATATATATATATATATATATATATATATATATATATATATATAATTTATGAAGAACTTGGTAAACCGAATTGGTAAATCCAAGGAAGATGAAATCCTGAGAGTTCAATATGAAGAACAGAGCTAATATTTAATGAGAAACAGACCACTTTAAGTTACCATTACAATAATTTATTTCACCAAAATCCTTTTTAAAGGATTCCAGATCATCAGGTAACGCTTCCAACAATGAAATAAGAGGAAAAATGGGATTAGAAATTAATGGGTAGTGTAATTTCTGTAATTAATCAGGGAGGGTGAAAGTGGCAGTTAAAGAGACAATACTGAGTATAGGGAGGGTTAAATTTATATCTCTCTTAAATAAGCTTTATATTGGGGTAGGAGGAGTGACCTAACCTTGACCTATTTATATGGTTAAAAAAACGGAAGTGATATGTAGGAATAGTGAGGAAAGGAAAAAAATAAAAGGAAAAAAAGAGAAAAAAAAGATGGAAAAAAGGCAGACGTATCCAAATGAGCATTTAAATTTACTATTCTTAATATGTAATGTCATTTTATCTTGTAATGCTCTATAATTAGTTTTGTTGAGTGTATTTTTATCTTCTGAAGGGAATTTCTTTTTAAAACTGATAATTTAAATTTAAATATACCATTCTTTAACTAGTAATAATAAATTTCCTTTAATAATATGAAACACTTCAGAAATCACCTAAATTTAAACTTTAACTATGGAATCAAACTAAAATCCAACTAAATTTCAAATATTAAAATATAGATAATGATTGTGAAATGTATATATAATTTATGTATGAAGATGAATGATCTTTTGTGTATATTGTTACATGTGTGTCTATGTGTGTATTTGTACTTGTTAATGAGGAGTATGTATGTATGAATTTACAGAAATATGTTTGTGAGACATATATAAGAAGAAAAACAAAATCTTTAATATTACCCTCAAATACTATTAAATAATGAAACCTAAACCTTAATTAAGTTTACCCATATAATAATAAATAAAATTGCATTCACAAATTAATTTAAATATTAAAATAATATACATGTTATTGTTACCGTATTTTTCTTCCTATATTGTGGAAACACAATTGGTCGGGTAAATAAACTATTATAATTTTAAATATTTCTTTAATATGTTCTCGATAAATATGTTTATTACAATAGTAGTTAACTTGTATTAAATCCCTAAAACATTTACTTAAAAAATTAAATACTTAAATTAATATCTCTCACATTTTTTAGACACCTAATTTTCTATCAAACATTGTAATCTATCTTTTACATAATTTTGTTAAAACAAAATTACAGCCTCTTTCGATTCACTTCCTTCTCCCCCTCTCTCTTTGCCATAAAACTCATTTGGATACGTCTGTCTTTTTTCCCCTTTTTCTCTCTTTCGATTCACTTCCCTCCCCTCTCTCTTTGCCATAAAACTCATTTGGATACGTCTGCCTTTTTTCCATCTTTTTTTTTTCTCTCTTTTTTTTTCCTTTTATTTTTTTTTCTTTCCTCACTATTCCTACATATCACTTCCGTTTTTTAACCATATAAATAGGTCAAGGTTAGGTCACTCCTCCTACCCCAATATAAAGCTTATTTAAGAGAGATATAAATTTAACCCTCCCTATACTCTGTATTGTCTCTTTAATTGCCACTTTCACCCTCCCTGTTTAATTACAGAAATTACACTACCCATCAATTTCTAATCCCATTTTTCCTCTCATTTCCTTGTTGGAAGTGTTACCTGATGACCCGGAATCCTCTAAAAAGGATTTTGGGGAAATAAATTATTGTAATGGTACCTTAAAGTGGTCTGTTATTCATTATATATATATATATATATATATTCAATATTTTCCGTATCTCTTTTAAATTACTATAGATTAACGATTTCAGATCACGAACATAATAAGATTATTAGATAGTTCAGATATTAATATCGATTACGCACACCATGCTACAAACGTTAAAAAAATAAAGAATATTTCGGATGAACGAGCATATTTGTTTTGTCTTCAGTAGAGGATCAGTTTACATAAAAACTGAAGACCCTATTAAATTTTATAAAATTTGATTTCCTTTTTATATTCGGGATTTTGATTGCTTAATCTAACGCAAAAAATCAATTAAAAATGGAAAAAAGTATACTTTCTCGTCCTAGGGCCTATTGTCAAACTCCAACTTAAATGTATATGAACAGATAGTTATGTATGTAGGTATTTCTAGAAACTATGAACGACATAAACGGAGTAATATGAATAAATAGAGTCAGACATGTATATACGCATTTATATACATACATAGATGGATTGATAGATAAATATGTACAGCTTGATATGTATATATTGATTTCTCCAAACTGCAGTAGTAGCTATAAAGATAGATAGATAGATAGATAGATATGGACAGGAAGATATGTATCGAGACATTATTTACATCGAGAATAAAAATTTCTATAGAGATAACTAATTATAAGGGCGCACACACACACACACTCTTATATATATATATATATATATATATATATATATATATATATATATAAGAGAGAGAGAAACAGACAGACAGACAAACTAATAGGTGGGTATCTATCTATCTATCTATTTATCTATCTATCTATCTATCTATCTATCTATCTATCTATCTATCTAGATAGATAGATAGATAGATAGATAGATAGATAGATAGAATAGATAGATACGGCGTGATGGAGAAAGAAATCGTTAATAAATAACGAAAGAAAGAACGAGGGAAGGAAAGAACCAAGGAAGGAAACAAAGAAGGAGGAAGAGCAAATTATCATAGGAATGCAAAGGTTTTCAAACTCAAACAAAAAAAGAAGCTAGAATTTAGGAACTAGATACAAGAGAGATGATTAAAAGTGCGCGCTAGAGAGATAGAGAGAGAGAGAGAAGGAGAGAGAGAGAAGGAGAGAGAGAAAAGAGACAGAGAAAGCTATTAAATTCAGGGAGAAACAGACGAGACACTAACGAGAATGGAAACGAGATTTGTCGAGGAAGAGAATCTAGAAGTGGCTGAGCTCTTTGATGGGATGTTTAATTGACACCCCGAAGAAGAGTCAACATATGCCACACCAAACCAATCTGAAATCGTTATGAACCTTCTAGTATTACCCTGAGTTCCATAGAAAGTTACCTCAAGGCGAAACGCACTCGCCTTGATGTCATCTGCAATGGCAGCGAACGGCTATTAAGCTTTTGACTAGTAAAGGATGAAACCGAGATAAAAGTCCAAAGCATCATGTGTGGCAAGACCAAGCTAATCAAGCTGATTCGTTGATGGCACTTTCTTCTCATTCAGCTAGATTGCCAACAACGAATGTTTAAGACTGATATCAAACCACAGGGCAAATTCATTACAGCTGAAGTATTCAGAGAAGCTTAACCCAGGCTGGAACATGGCCAGATGCGGAAAGACACCTATTTACTATCGAAATTACGAATCTGCGATCGAGGATGCGAGATCAACGTGCTAAACGTCACATCAATGCGAGGCATGGGTTAATGAGGATGGATCTAATGAGTGATATACAAATTTTCCTCTAGCAAAAATCTGCCACAAATACGTGTTAATCTGCACTGGTCTTAGTTCAAGTACAATTAAAATGAAATACTATGTTTAAAATGACTTCACCGGGTCCCAAACGTGAGGTAAAATGACAATGAAAGAAAACATAAAATCATAAAATGGTATGATTGAATTTTAATATATATTTGTCAGTAGGCGAATTTAACATGCTTAGATGAATAAACATTTAAGAAGTCAGATGCAGTAAACATCGAAAATTTTCGAGACAACGACAACATTCACACACACACACACACACATATATATATATATATATATATATATATATATATATATATATATATATATATATATATATGAACATTCTCAGAGTTAAACTGTAGAAAAGACAATATTTATAAATATAAATGACAACAGGAAAACTGTAGTTATTGCTGACGCGTTTCACACACACACACACACACACACACATATATATATATATATATATATATATATATATATATATAAGACAAAGTTGAAATGTGTAGGACTTTATCGGGCAAAGTTTATATTTACATTGATGCAACTGCACATGCGCACGAATGAAACAGAGATACTGAGAATTTTAAACTTTAATTAAACTAAAATAATTCTACCCAACAACTGAATCAAAACTAAACTACGATAAAAAAAATATCAAAATAAACATAAAATTTGTCAAAACTACGTCTAAAACAATAGAAAAAAATCTAAATAGCGCAAAAGAAATAATAAGCAAAAACTCAAAGGAATGATTTCCTTTATTACCTGTAATAATTGTCACAGGGAATGACCTCCAGAAACTTCAAGGAATTTAAATATAAGATTATATTCACTCAAATGGCATCTTTTGCAAAACAACACATTAAAATCATTAGTTACTTACTGTACCTAGATTTACATTTTAAAAATCCTACCTACACTAATTAAAAGAGGAAACAATTTAATAAGATGAAAATATATAGAAAGTGCTTTAACTGCTATATCATCCACAAGAAACATGCCTCCTGTTTCTAACGACGTTTCTCCTTTCTTGGCATATTTGCTATTATGATAACGGGCGATATTTTATAAAAATGTCATGGAAACATAAACAAAAAATAAGAATCTAAATGAAATCTGCTTTATTATATACCCCAAAAACATATAAGAAAAAGAAAAAAAGAAAGAAAATTCACAGCATCACGCTTTCGTTCGTTCGCATGTATATTACATTACACACCTAAATTTCGCCCTTAAAGATTATCAAATGAACAGGGAGGTCCGAAAGTCTTGTCACCCCTAAATTACTTCCAAATTGTAGAAGCTCGTGTCAGCAATCTGAAATAGAAAATTATATTACGTACGGGTGACAATATTTTGAGACCACGCTGTAGTTAGCTTCTCAATATAATTTCCGTTGCTTAATGAAAAAATGAGGAATTTTTCGTTTTTACCCCGCCTATCTATCTATCTATCTATCTTTTTCTTTCTTTCTCTCTCTCTCTCTCTCTCTCTCTCTCTCTATATATATATATATATATATATATATATATATATATACTACGATGTTAAAGATAGTATGAAGCCCAAAATGCTGACAGTCAATGGTGTATTGAGAGAAAAGATATTTAAGGCAATCAGTCTTTGCAATAAAGCGCCTGATATCAAAGATAGAGCATTAATACGATTAATATGAGTAAAAAGGTTGTCACTTAGCTGATTGATGTTACCTCAAGCATTACGAATCCAAAGTTTCGTAGGTGGACCTGTTCGTCCACTCTTCAGCGGATATCACTAATTTCCTTCATTTATTTTTTACAATTTTTTTCCTTTTTTGCATATGTATAAGTTGTCTTCTGTATTTTCTGTGTTCGTGTGTGCGTTTGTCCGTGTGCAGTCATGCCCCGTTTTTCCGTTTGTCCAGTATATATTATAACTTAAACGTTATTTTTACTGGATACCTATATCTCAGTAGACACTGCCTTTATTTATTAAACAGAATATTTATGTATTTTCGTCTACCGGCCAGATGGGCAAAACTCTTCGTGGCCTATTTGGTTTGAAGCACATCGGCTTTAATTACCATTTCTCATGCTAGGGGAACACAGGTACGAATCCTTTTCATTCTTTAATGAGATTTGTCTAATATTCAGATATCCACTAAAAATAACGGTTAGGTGATAAAATCTCTCGGATTAATAAGTAAAAAATCTATTATTGCTTTAAGAAAAAAAATGACGATAGCTTTAATGTATGACATAATTATGGGTAAACGTACTAAATATCTGGGATAGAGCTCATGTAAATATAAAAGTGTGATACTTTGCACACACACACACACACACACACCCATATATATATATATATATATATATATATATATATATATATATATAAATAAATATAAAATATCGCATATTGTGCTATGCATAATTATTAGATCTGTGCTATCGGCGAGGTAAAATATATATTATTAATACGTATATATATATATATATATATATATATATATATATTTATTTATTTATTAAACAACATTTACCGGACTGAATGTGCGAGAAATTTTCATAGGAGGACGAATATTTTTGTATGAAAATTTCTCGGACATATATATATATATATATATATATATATATATATATATATATATATATATATATATATATATCTCTCCCTCTCTCTCTCTAGATAGAGAGAGAGAGAGAGAGAGAGGTGGGAGTGGGACAGATACATAATTTATGAGAGAGTGCTGTCAATGTTATATGTGATGTCTCTTCTTCAGCTTGTCAACTGTCTTTTTCAATAATAAATAAAATTATTGCATTATTTTATATGTTGATCTATTTTTTCATTTATCCCTTAAAATGCTCATCCAGAAAATAATACCCAAAATGATCAAACTCAAACCCAATTTCTTCCTACTCTTTGGCATTCCCTAACTTAGAAGGACTAAACCTGATCAACTGCGAAAGACTTTCATTCAAATAAATATCTCAAAATTCAGTACTTACTTTTTGTTCCATCATTTGCGTGCAAAAAAAATAAAAAATCAACAAAAAGATCTTTCTGAACCTTTTCCGCTTGCAATCTTCCAAGTGAGAAAGAAACAATTCAATAAGGTATAAGGAATCGTAATCACTACGTCTCCTTGCTTTTTTTTTTAAAAATGACTGACTGTAAGGTTTTACTATCGTCTGCTTTCTTCCAATTTTTACCGCGATGGAATTGCTTTGCAAAACAAACAAACAGTATCAAAACAAAAATTATATTACAATATTTTTAATCAATCTTTCTAAAATAAATCAATTTAAAGAGGCTCTCATTAAATAATAATCAAGAAAAAAAATAACGTTCACATTTAAAAATCCAAGGGAGGTAACTCATTTTTAAACATTTTTTTTTCTTTTTTTAATTATTGAATATCAGGCCCTGTCAATACATACACACCCTTCTAAGTATATATATATATATATATATATATATATATGTGTGTGTGTGTGTGTGTGTGTATGTGTGTGTGTGTGTGTGTGTGTGTGTGTGTGTGTGTGTATATAGGTAAATATATATATATATATTTAACTATATACATCATTATATAAATGTTAGGATTAATAGGTACAAGATCTTAAGTAGATATGTCTATTTTTAAGTAATATATATATATATATATATATATATATATATATATATATATATATATATATATATATATAAACTTAGAGTGGGGAGGAGAAAGATCTAGACAGGCAGAGATGAGAGAGTGAAAATTAGAAGTGAGCATTGAAAACATCTTGGATAATTTTGAATCTATGAAAGTAAAGAAACCCTAGATTACACACAATGGAACTTCTAAAATCAAATATCCGGGTTATATTAG